TCTCTCTCTCTCTCTCTCTCTCTCATCTATACGATCTTCAGACTTGAGAACGTACTAGGGCCTACTATTGTTATAAGAGTACCAAAGATCAGAGTACTCTGTATCGAAAAACTTGTCGTCGTGAGAGTTATTTCCCATGCCTTTCTCTCATTTTCTTCAATGTCTTGCTTGGCTGAGTAACCAACAACGCCGATATAATGTGTGTGTCATGTTCATGAAGGTAAACAATTTTTATGTCGTTGCTGTTCTAACTTGTCCTTTCTTTTCACATTCACTGGTTTTGGTTGTTCTAAGGTTACATAAAAAAAGACCTCGTGAGGAACCGCATTTTGCCTTGTAGATTCATTTAGCGTAGCCACTAGATTTCTATTAAAGTTAGAATCTCCAAACGAAGTAGATCTAGATCTAGATCTAGATCTAGATCTAGATCTTGGTATGGGCTTGGCCCTTCGACTCAAGCCTGTTAAGTACACAGGTCTCATTAGATCTAGATCTAGATCTAGAATCTAGTAATTATTCAGGTTCAAATACATGCAAGTCAGTAAGGCACCTTTTGATTTTGTCTGAAATACAAATACTTTAGGCATTATTGCAAACTAAAAATTTCATTTACAATTCAGCCATCAATATATCGCTGGTGGAGTGATGAAACCTCGTAACCCCAGAAAGAAAAATTTTACAGGAGAGACAAAAAACTGATTTACTCATGAATAAAATGACCTATATGAACCAAAGTTGGTACAGATAAATGAAAACACCTTAGAAACGTGGTTAGTACATACAATAACTTTTCTATTGTTTATGTGGTTACGCTGTAGGATGCGAGGTTTCATACGACATTTTTGTCGTGATGAAACCTCGTAGTCAGCCGGCGGGAGGGTTACGAGGTTTCATCAGGACAGACTTTGGGGGTTGCGAGTTTTCTCTCTGCTCATTTTGGTTGCAATATGCGTCTGTTATTTGAAACGCCACAAAGTGATAAAGTTGTTTTTTCAAGACCAATTAGTTTGGAGTTTGATTCCCGGCCAACTGAAGGCAAATAAATGTGTGTTACCTGCAGAATTTATGTTTGAATCCTCGAACGGATTGCAATGAATGCAATTCGTTTCACTATAATTTGCCAAGATTAGGTCTGGTTACTTCCAGTTTTACTAAAGAGCACAAATTATGAATAACAAATCTCTGCAATGTGGTCTCTGTTTGCACTACAGATGGTTTTCTTTCATTTAAAGAGATGTTGAATCATAAAGAACAGCCATAAATGTTAATGGTAGTAATTGTCATAAAGTGACAATGCATACTGGCAATAACAGATTTAAGCACCTGTAGGTGATTGTACTTTTGAAGTGCTGGAACTTAAAACGTTTTTTGTGAGGTAGGGTGGACCTTATGTTTCTGTGTCCTGCCTTCGGAACGTCAGCCCTTTCATCACTGAGGTGCAGCTTGAACTGGATGTTCATGTTTGGGGTGTACTTCAAACACATGATGTCGGTGACAACAGGATCACCCGTTTTTCTACCTAGTCTTATAGACTTGTCGTAGCTTCCACACTTGGAATATTTCTTGAAGAATATGTGATCCAACTATTTGTTTTGATATGTTTCTTGTTTTGCTCTTGCCGTCCTGAAGAAATGGAGGTAGTCTTGGAAGACCTCGATGCGTGTTTTTCGAAGCGATCTCTTAATAGTTGAGTTCACACTGATAACTTCCATTTGTGTGTGTCCTTTGATAAAATGTTTTTGTTCAATTGTGCTTCCGTATGTTGTTGAAAACAGGCTGAGAGAAACATTGGCCAGTGTGGCATTTCTGAATTGGTAACCACAGTTGTCGCTGTCGATGATGGTTTTCTGGAGGTCCAGCTTTTCTTCCAGAAAATCCAATAGACATGAAGCAAACTCATTTGCCATAAGTCCCCCTTCTGCTCCATCACACACGTAACAAGTAGTCTGGCGTGTTGCAGCATCCAATTGCGTAAAGTTATGAATGGCGAGTTTTGTTTTGTAATGTAAGGCTGATGCTGAAGATCCATTGAAAGTACGGCCGTTTTAGGTTCATTACTGGCGAGAGATTTGATGGCTTCAGATTTAGCTCGTTCCTTTTCTATGCGCGCTGCCTCCTTTTCTAGAATGTGAGCATTCCAAAGATCCTCCAGCACATTGTCAACTTCACGACTGATGCAAAGGTGGTACATCTATCTTTGACAGGAACAGCGACACGTTTTTCTGCTTGAATGCTTCATCGAGGGTGGGTCTTTTGAGAGGCCGCTTCCCGTGGTCTTGGCAGACTTGTGCATATATTTTGTAGATATCTGAGTTACTTTGATAATTATTGGTTCTAAATGTTTCTTACAAATCATTCATCCAACCCAGTTCAATTCAGGAACACCTTTTAACACACTGGCACCTTATGGCCACCTTTTAAAAGTGTTTATTGAGGGTATTCCCTCTCTGGTTAGTCTCTGAATACCTCCTCCGAGGTCCACTAGTCATCCCATGAGAGTGACCACACTAATTCAAAATTAGAATGTCGATCAACTTCAGAGAGCCCTTTATATTTCAGAGTCCAGCTCTTGCAATCACATATTGGTTTCAATAACTTAGCTGGGTTTTTCATTGAACCATTATGTATTCCGATCTTGTCCTGATCCACGGATAGCTTTTCGCTTATTTGTTGCCACTCCTTAAAACCCTTTCTTTTCCTCCGTGGAGCATCATTTATGCTGGCATAACAAATGAGCTGTGTCTCGGGATCAGGCTCCAGGAAAAGTGGCTAAGGTGCCTGAATATGGTCTACAGATTGTGTTGCTGTGACCTCGAAGGTAATAATTCAGCATCTGACTTACAGCTGCCTGGTGAAACGTCAGTATGGTTTGGGGTATGATTCCAGGCGACACTATTGTTGGTGCAGACTCAGTCTGGGATGATGCTGATATTTCCTTATCTCCACATATCAGGGACAGCCCTGGAAAGGAGTGCGACATGGTGGCTGGGGTCAATTCATTTGAACGTGGTCTGCTCAGTGGTTTCCAAACCAGCCTTTGTAGGGTATAAAGATCTAGGTGATGAGCACAGTTAGAAGGAGACATTCAATACATATTCGGAAATGTCCGTATTACTTGTGTTGTTGAGGCACAAATTTGTCACAATGTCCTCTAAAGACTTCAGAGTCATCAAGACCATGGTTAAGTTCAGTACTATTCGGTCTCAACCACAACTGGAGAATTCGACTACACAGCGGATTCATAGTCTGAGAAGATGCAAAACCTTACCCTCTCTTTGATAAACAGAATGGCCTGTTGACATCTGGAGAGTGCACAGATCTGTCACCTAGTCTAAGTAAGGAGTACCGTCACCTGTCATTTCAAGGTGTGACTGTTGCCTTAACTTAAAAGTTAACTATGTTTGTGCTCGATCAGAACATCTTGATTATCAGCAAGTTAGTCATCCTTATGAATGGATTTTTAATAGATTTACACAATGTAAGTACTTCACTTATGACCATATTTGAACTTCTGAACTGACTGAAATAAAGTGAATGAATAAAAGAATGAATGAATGTATGGGTGAATGAAGGAATGAAATATTTCTTTATTCCGTCAGATACATTAAATGCACCAGACAATGTCAGTTATGAGCGCTTCAATTAAGCCGGTTCATATAGAAGGCTTATCCAGAACCTCGTATAAGCACGCCACTCTCTCAAACCGGGAGTGATGAAACCACGCAAAAGCAGATCGGCGCACAAGGTGAGGGTTGCGAGGTTTCATCACGCCAGGATATCATGGGGGCAAACATACGAGGTTTTCTTATTAAGTATTTTTCATACTTTCTCTTACTAATATGACCTAGTGCTTTTGACACATTGTGAAGAAGGACTGGGAGAAGACATTAAGCCAAAAAAACGAATTTTGAAAAAATTGAGGGTTACGAGGTTTCATCACTCCACCAGCGATATTAAGTACGGCTAGCCTGACAGTCTAGCCGTCCTATTAACATTAGAAAACAGGACGTTTAAAATACATGCACTGTCATTATTAAGGCACCTGGTTTCGTCTCAGATACAAATACTTTAGGTACTGCACACTAAAAATGTATATTTACAATTCAGTAGGCCTATTTTTTGTAAATGGTCAGTCTAGCCATCATATTAAGAATAAGTACGGCTAGACTGCCAGTCTAGCCGTTAGCCTCTTCCATCTCCAAATTCCTGATATGTTAGAAATCTAATCTAGAATATATAGATCTATATCTAGATCTAGATCATAATTATTTTCGCAGTGACTTCGTTCACAGTGCCGTGATTTCTTGAACACAGTTTGCAGGCTATGTTCACGATGCCATGAATCATCCACCATTCATTGGTGCAGGCAGAGTCCTGACTGAAGTGAAACGCAACGGCCACTCAAAGTGAATGAGGAAACAGCGGTGGAAACTCGCATGAAAAATAATGCAGCGGTGGTCCGAATGCAACAGGTTTACGGAGGGGGAAGGCAGGCACAGTAAAACAGCCGTGGTCGACAAGCGATCCTCTTTCCGTATGCGGACCCGGCAACGCTAGAATAATTTGAAAATAAAAGTCCCTCGAGGAGAATCGAAGAAGGCCAAGGAAGGCAGAGGGATGGGAAGGGGCTGATAAAAAAAAAGAAGGAAAAGGGTAGGGGATTAAGTGAGCAAGATCATTCTTAAATTACAAACTACATTCAGGATGCCGTGAACGTAGTCACTGTGTATCATTTGTGTCATGACGTAGTTGAATCAGGCGCTCGTCAATTTTTGGGCATGTTATAACATTTGGTATCGTCCTGAAGCTTGCCTATTTGTGTTGATTTTGATAAAAGAAATTATACCCATCTATCTTGAATAGAAGTCAAGATATTTGAGATTGAAGGGGGGGTCGCCTGGTTTCAGTGGCAAAATTAGCGAGAAAATGGCCGCCAAAGTTTGACAATTTTAATAGCTTCAGATTCCCTGAAAACGATAAAATTGTACTTATTTTGTGCCTTTTAATCACCTTTTTTCAGTGAAATTCACATGGAAAGGTGTGTTTTTATATATAGACACGAAAGGTATTGAGCCAAAAACAAAATTTGATAAAAATTGCCAAACTGGTGGAAAAGTGCCTGTTTCTTCAATTCCATTATTTTGACGAGCGCATAATTTCACCACAATCCCTCACATTTCATTCTCAGTCTGCATGACAAATCTGGTTCTGATGACTGTAAGACTGTCTTGTAAGAACCGATGGATAGTGCCAAGTGGAGTGCCTGATGGTGATGCTTCTTTAACCCTATGTCCAGCCCTAAACTTTAAAAACTTAACTGTAAGAACACTCAGTTTGTCTGGACTGGATACCACCATGAGTAGAATGTTATTCTTTGAATATTCTATCATTCCCTACCCCCCAATTTGTTAGTTAAAGTAACTTTTAAAGCATTTTTTGGTGGTATATATGTAGGATTAGAAATAGAGTGTAGAATAATTTATAATCTACAGTATTAAAAAATCTTTAGAGTAGAGGGGGTAGTCTGCGCTACCCTAAGCATAAAAAGTGACCTTGCGAGTGCCCGGTGAAAGGGGAGGTAACCGCACAATAACTGATGAGAAGCAAATTTCGTCTGCTATCGTCGGCCCAGCGCGCATGGCCTGCTTTGTTTGCCTCTCTCCCTCAGTAGTGGTATTTGTGAGGCAAAGTGAGGGCGGGTGTGTGCGACAATGAGCGGGGGTGCGCGTTCCTGCTTGAGGGTGGCGCGTTTTATGGAGGGGCTGCGCGCTAGGATAGGGCGGGTCTTGCAACATGTCCTAATAACTTCTTATTATGAATCTTATAGGCTAACGTATGATTTTCTAATCATAAATCAGGAAATATTCTTACAAATTGCACAAGAGTTAAGAGTTACAAAAGATACTCAGTTTTTATGCATAGCCAAAAGAGAAAAAAAAACAAAAAATAACTGAAGCCAACACTTAAAGGGAAACAGTAATCTATTAGTGAGTCTAGATAACTCTGAAAACCATGAATTAAATTATATAAGAACAGCAAAGTAGAGACATGTGGATCTAATTGCACATGGATAAACAAAGATATTGTTTACACTGTTTGTATGAAACAAATTGGGAAGGAGAGATTAGTCAGCACAGCAAAAGAGCTAGATGTCCATGGCATCCATGTCTTCCTGAGTCTTGTCCTTCAGGTCCATCTGTTTGACACAGTTGGCGTGCCACCACTTGTCACAAAGCATGCACTGGGTGAGCACTACCTGTCCTGCGGTGGTGGCTCCACACCCAGCACAGTCGACCGTAATGTCCCCACAATTGTCGTAGCTGTCGTCATACACCGGCTCTTCACCTGAGTCAGAGGAATCTTCCTCCTCTTTCTTCTTCTGTGAGGCCACAACCAAAGCATTCATTTCCTTCTTTTGAATTCTCCTTTTCTTCTCCTCCTTTTTCTCCTTCTATGCCTGCTCTCTTTGTTTTTTCTTCTCTTTTTGGCTTTCTTTCTAGTCTTCAGCTTGTGCTAGCCGTTCCATCTTTCTCTGCTCCCTTTGCTTCTTTCTCTCTTCCTTCTGCTGTTGTTCTTCTTCCGCCTTCCTCTTCTTCGTGAGTATCATCTCTTTATAGACATTTTTCCACTGATGGACCGGGGCACTGTTGGCTGGGGCCTTCTAACGGCCTTGTTCTTGGAACAGGACGGAAAAGTGAGCACTTTGTGGATAGTCATCTCCCCGGAGGGGTGCTGAGGTTCCAGGGCTCTTGCTGATGGCTGGGGGAGCGGAGGAGCTGGACCACATGTTGTAGTCGGGTTCGATCTTGAGATCGTATCCATTGTCATACCTTTTGAGGTACAGGTCCACCTTCTCCTCCCCAAGCTTAAAGTTCATGGAGAATATTTCTTTGAGTCGGTGACGGCGAGTTTGTGACGTCGTGGATGGTTCAGAGGCAGAAGAAGCGGATGGGGCAGAGGCAGACGAGTTGGATGACAAGTGGAGGGTTGGGACAGGGGACCCTGTGAAGGTGCAGCTGGGTTCAGCTTGTCACTTGTGAGGACAACGTCAGGGTTGTAGGGAAACGACCCTGACTTGTTGAATCCCCTCAGGGCCGTTTTTAGCCGAGCTGCTGTTATCCAGGCCTTCAATTCAGGATGCCGGCAAACGTCGTCAGTGTGAGGGATTCCGAGGTGTCCCTCACAAACTTCCTTACCCCCTCTTGCCACGCTGGCTTAATAATGGCCCCGAAAAACACCTAGTCCAGAGGCTGTGTCAAGTGGCTGGTGTGGGCCTTGATGCAATATAATATTGCCCCGTTCTCGCTGCAGAAGTCTGTGACGCGAAACCCCGCCTTACCAGACGCCATGGCGGCACTGCGCACCAACCCCCATCCATCCCCACAGAGAGGCTGAGCGGCTCCGTGCTTCGCTTAATACTGATGCTATACGCACAACACGCTGCTCTGTGTGTAGTGCAAGTATACACATCGTCATAAAATGCATTGACAGCCTTACAACTACAGGCCGATGTACTGTTAGAATACATAATCAGCAAGCCTGGAAATAATTTGCCTCTGTGTACGAGCTATAAGCAACCACAGCGCCCTGCAAATAATCTCATGCTACAGGAAAGGGTGCTGCCGGATGTTGATAAACGCGGGAACTCTCTAGCATGTTTAAATTGGTTCATACCACAGGGTTGTCGCGCAGACCCCCCTATTGCGCAACACCGCGGCTACTCTATGTAATGTTTGCCGAATCTACTTTAGATGGGAAAAAAAAAGTTCTATTTTAACCCTTTGAGCCCTTGCCAAGGGTCCACCGATGGCGCGTAAAGCTGCCTGTATGCCTAGCCACTGGGTACAGCAGTGAGCGAGACTCTATATTCCCAACCTGCTCGCCCGAGACAAAATGGGTACAAAAGACAGTGCCTTTATACAAGACATTAGTGATTATTTTGAAGATCTTTCTGAATTAGATGCTGATAATGACAAGGACTACTCTGAGTGGGATATGGAATGTGATTCTGACGATCCTATCATGAATGTTAATAATATAACGCCCAGGAGCTCTGGCAGAGGGGCATGGTAGCCTGAGGATGTCAGGGCTCAAAGGGTTTTATATTAATAGCATTGCTGCGGATATGCGACAATATTATTATTGCATGGCTCATGATATCTTAGCTTGATTTCAACTAATTTTGAGACTATTTTTTCTTTTCCAGGAAATTGAATTACTTTGACTTTTCCATTTTATATTTTTCTTCATAGGTTTTGACAAGAGAAAGTTATTACAGCACATTTTGACACATATTTGATGCGAAAATGAAATTGAACTTTGAAAGGAACAAACCTCCTTTGGTAACTATGGGCCTCAAGTGGAAAAAACATGTTGTGATTGTTTTTGGAATACTCATTGTTGTGAGCATTATATATTTCTTTGGAAGTATTAGTAGTGGTGGTTTAAGACGAAATGTTTCTGATGGCAGTAGACTACTACAGAAGTCTCGTCACAAACAAGGATACTCTGTCTGGCAGACATTTGACCCAAAGCCAGGAATGGACAGAGTGAGTGCTGTTTATCCTTTTCCTTTTTTGTGTGTGTATTTTTTCCTCTCTGTCAGTATACTCTTTAAACTCATTGACCGTGGAAGTGATTTTCAAAGCCTCATGAATTATCTATTTTCTTTTAAATCTAAAGCAATGAATGGATAATTAAGTCTTCACAGAGTATTTTTTAAATCTCCTGCTGTCTGCTTGCTCTGTAAAACGTGTACATGTGTAAAAGACCCAGTCACTCGGGATACGTTTAAAAACATTTTGATCAACAAGTGCTTGCATCATTTTGACAATTCAAACATTTTGCGTTAATATGATGTTTAGAGGGGTTAAGTTGATGATTGAGTGAAGTTTTAATAGATTCGCAAACATTAAACTCCAGTGGATTACACCCAATCACTGGGGAAAGGGTTAAGAACGTCCAAGGAATATTATATTGATAGTTTTCATAAAATGAAATGAGTCACATTTTGCATGAATCATTCACATTCGTTTGTCAGTTTGAATTCCCTTCATGAAACAAAAATCCACCCCGGAGATGAGAATTCTTCTACTTGTTGTAAGTTATAGGCTCATGGGTAGAATACATCCTTGAATTGTCAGATAGAAGTGATGTGTGGGAGCTGGCTGAAAGTAGCACTGTCAAGATATGTGTATATATTTTTTTAAAAATAGAATACATCTCTGCTTATTTTAAAGAAAGATCAGATGTGCTGATGTGGCGTTTATCAATAGTTCACATTAATCTGAAAAAAATTATTACAGTTGAAACTGTCCAAGACATCCATCCATTGCTGAGGAGAAGAGAGGTTGCCTTAGACAGGAGGATGTCCTGGACAATGTCATTATAATATAAAAAAGGCGCAAGTGGAGAAGTGGGTAGTGGTCATTTTTCCATTCGATTGTCCTATACAAATGGCCATTAGAGCAAGTTCAACGATGTTAAATACTCTTAAAATTTGTTTCTCTGTTAAAATAAAATTTCCCTGTTCTTTCACCCATAATCACTGTGATGGCCCTCCCCTTTCAGGTATTTCTGTGTGTTGTACTTAGCCTACTGCTCTATTCTTCTATTCCTGTTCTGTTGGTCAGGTTCTAGAAAAAACACTGCTCCCTTTTGTCTTCTCCTACTTCTTTTTGTACCAAAATTGTCTTGTAAGTTTTAATATTTTACAACCCTTTTTTTTTGTCTCATGCTCCTGATTATTTTACCAAGATATAATATGTATTTAGTTGAGG